CTCTGCCCTGGCCCGGCCCGGGAGGCCCCTCCGGCCACCTCGCGGGGAAGGGAAGTTCAGTCCCGTGAGATGGAATCACGGGCACTGGGCCCACGGGGGGAGGGGTGCTGGGCTCTCGGAAGGGAGCTGTCGGTGTCCCCTTTCCTCCCCGGGGCGGGTCTGGCCGTGTGGGTGCCCGCTGAGGGGACAACCCACTTCCTGGGCCCCCCGAAGGGATTGGATAAGCTCTCCCGGCTCTCACCTGTCCCCGAGGAGGGGTCCAGAGTCGTTTGGGGGCCTCACGGCCTGGGGTGGGGGGCTCTGTGCAGATTCATCTCTTGTCACCTCACTCCTCGGCCTTCCTCTGCCAGGCTGCTTGGCCGGCCTCAGGGCCTTTGCACCCCGGTTGCTCTGCCCTGCACACTCTGCCCCCAGATGCTCGGACCCACTCCCTCGGTTACTTCTCAGCCAGCCTCCGTCCCATCATGCCGGTCAAGCACACACAGCATGCACGTGCGCGCACACACACGCGCGCGCGCACACACACACACACACACACACACACACGCACACTCGCGCGCGCCCCGCCCCGCTCTCCTTCAGAGCTCACGCTTTCTCCACAGCGGCGCATGCGCCCCCCACTGCACGCTGAACCCAGGCTCTGACTTTGTCTCCCCCCTCTAGCCGCGAGCTTCGTGCAGGTTGGCTGCGCGTCCCCACCCACACCCGCAAGCGTGGAGCACACACGCTGGTCCTGTTCAGGGGTGTTTGGCTTTTTCTGTTTTTCTTCCCCTCTCATCGCCAGCACCCAGAATAAATCAACGCACGATCAAATGGTAAATACTAGCTGTTCGTGGAGGTAACATTACCAGGAGCACGGCAAATGCCAGTCTCTGTCGTTCACGGTAGACCCAGAGTGAGCGTGGCCGCTTCAGTTCACGCACAATTTGGGAAACGCGAGCCCGCTCCGGCCCGCGGTGGGCTTTGTCTGCCCCCCAGTGGCCGCCCGCCGTCACCGCAAGCAGCCCCGTCCCCGCAGGCGCTTCTGGACCACAGCCTCCCGCGCCAGTTCCCCTGGCAACCAACCAGGCTGCCCTTTGTCACTCTGGAGGTGCCCTGAGCCTTAGGCGCTGTGTGCTCTCGGGGAAGGGAGAAAGCCGACGTTTGTTTCATCTTATAAATCTTAACATCACAGCCCCTGACTGGTTCAGCGAGAAGATGTCACGGAGTGGCACGCGTGGGGAAGGCTGACAGTCGATGGCGAAGGTCTCCCGGGGGCAGGGCTGGGGCCAAGCGGAGCCAGGGGAGGGTCCTGAGGCCCAAGGAACAGGCCTCAGAGCCCGCGGGGCTAAGCCTGAGAACCCCGGGATGGCGCGGAGCCCAGAAGGCGGCAGCTCCTGCTGTGGCCACGTGCCAGGCCTGGGACTCTGCTTTCCTGTTCACGGCGCTTAACGGCGTGTGTCCCAGCAGTGTGACATCTCCAGGGAGACACTGACCCGAGTCCAGGGTCTGCAGAGACCTCGGGCTGAGGCCCATGTCCAGCAGGTGCACGTCTGGCCTCCCGGGGGACAGGACGTGTCCCTGAGACCCATGCGGTCTGCACTGCAGGGAGGGCTGAGGGAGTCGGAGCTGAAGCTGAGCGGCCCAGGCTCTTATGTGTTCGCCTTGGGACGCGCTGCTCACAGGACGGCACAAAAGTGACCATCACCTTCACACGCCCCGCGGCCACACCCAGTCACCTCCATCCACACAGACCCGGGTAGAGGGGCGGTTAGCGGCTGGTGCCACGGAGGCGCGAGTCTGTGGGCACCGACACGTGGGCTCTGTCAGTGCTTCTGTCCAGGGATTGGCAAGCTCAAAATCTGGTCCACGGCTGTTTTGTAAATAAAGCTTTATTGGCATTCAGTCATGCTCACTCATTTGCATATTCTCTGAGGCTGCTTTCAGCCTGTAAAAGGCGTTAAAATTTCATGTCACTAAATTATTTGTCTTTTGATTTTTTTTCAGCCATTTAAAATAAAAGCCGCCATGAACTCACAGGTCACATCAGCGGGCTGCATCTGGCCGCAGAGCTGTCCTTTGCCAAGCACTGCTCTAAGTGTTCACTGGGTAAGTGGAAAAAATTGGACACCGGCCTCACAGTGAGATCACAGCTTTGCACACGCGCGCGCACACACACACACACACACACACACACACGCACACGTAGCTTAGACACCTGCTTAATTGTGAAGAATACAAGAGGCACAGAAGGGTAGTCACGGCCCCTTCCATGTTTTCCACCCTGGAAGCTAGAGTAAAGACAAAACGCAGTGCTCCAGGACTTTGCAGAGTGACCCCCCCAAGGGCGGAAAAGCGAGGTTCCTGTGGCCCCCACTGAACACAGGGGAAAATGAGTCCGCAGGCTGGGGCAGGTAGTGAGCTGTTGTAATGTGCCAGCCGGCTGGGCTTTATATGACAGCTTCAAAGAACCGACCCACCCATTTGGGAGCCCTGGATCGCTCCTCTGTAGCCCAGACCGCTGCTTGTTTCCTTAATTCAGCTATGGACAAGTGAGTGTCAGTTTGGTGAAAGAAAACACTACTACCCAGAATTCACAGGATGGAACAAGTACAGGGACTTTTTGGATGGGAAGAACATATCCTTCCTCTCTAACCAAATCTTACGTATTGATTCATTTTTTGATGCAGGGTCTCACTATGTGGCCCAGGTGGGCCTTGAGCTCACAGTGATCTTCCTGCCTCTGCCTTCCTGGTGCCAGGATTACAGGCCTGCGCCACCACGCCCAGCTTGAATCATCTTAAATTCACAAAGCTGTCCTTTGTAATTCTTCAGTTATTAGGGATTTGTTCCCTATTCTGCCCAGATACTACAAAGGAGGAGACAATGGTTCCCATGAACACCATACGAGCGTCTTCCTTCCCGATTTTCTCAGCCCTGACATCCCCAGGGGCCCAGTGGGTGGTGGTCAACAAGGTCACCCTGCCCGGCCGACATTCCCAGTCCCCTTAGCACACACAGCGCTTGAGAAAGCGAGGAAGGCACAGACAAAACCGTCAGCACTCTCGCTCTACTATGGCCCCACATTCATTTTTCCTTCTAGTTCAACGTGGGAGGGAGAAGGGATTCTCACGTGCGGGAATTCTTTCTTCAGAATAGTTTTATTGGTTTGGATATTCTGTCAAAAGTCAACTTCTTTTCTGTCCTATGTTTGATACACAGATCCATTCATTTGGGATTCTCTCCCCACACTTCATACATTGTAACACAGCTCTGTGGGTCGGCAGGAAAGCTCGGGCCGTATAGCCTGAGGTTACTGCCAGTTCTCACGGCAGCTTTAAGACACCGTACTTTGGACAGAAACTGCACAAGGTCCTTCTCGAGGTGGGTTAGGGAAGTAAGTGCGTAGTCTTCGGTTGGGGAGCCATGTTGATTTTTCTTCGGTGAAGAGCGAAGAGGATATCCTCGGAGGCCAAGAGGATTCTGCTCCTGTCAAGAAACATATTCCGGGTGAATAATTCCACTGACCTTGCCAGTTTTGACACAATCCCAAGAAAGGTAAATTCGTCTAAGTTTCTATCATGGCTCTATCAGTGCTTTTGTCTAGGGATTGGCAAACTCTCAAAATCTGGTCCACGGCTGTTTTGTAAATAAAGCTTTATTGGCATTCAGTCATGCTCACTCATTTGCATATTCTCTGAGGCTGCTTTCAGGCCGTAAAGGCAGCGCTGAGAGTAGTTCCACAGAGGTCACATGGCCCCCAGTGCTGTTCCTGCTGGTCACTCCGGGGAGTGTCAGGAAGAGCTAGATCGGTCTAGAAGAGAACACACCGCCCAATTTCGCTCCCCTTCCCCTCCCATCAAAAGGGCTGTGGCGTTCCTTTGGGGACCAGCGGTTACTACTTTCCACCTTTGTCCCTTTAGTACAGGCCCCTATTCCTTTTACTTAGGATACTGATAACATTTCTGTGAGGCTCAGGAATTTGTATTAAGTCAAACAGTGAAATTCTAAAAATCAGGGGACACTGACTTTGGCTCTGGACAGTTTTGACCTGAAACACACCTTAAGTTCTTGAATCAATCCTCAGTCTGAAGAAATTCACATCACAGGAAAAGCTGAGCCAGTGAACAGCTGTTTGCGCCAGCTTCCGTGGATTCGGAGACTTAGCGATGCGCTGTCTTTCTTCACCAAGGACACACGTCAGGAATCACATTTGCCACATTTCACTAAGGTCATGAGCCAGGTACTTTCCTCTCAAATTCACGACATTTAGGAGTCCTGCCTCTCCTAACTAAAACCTAGGTTCCTCTGGGACTGAGATTTGTTATTGAAGGGATGTGCTGTGAAAATGGAGCAGCCACTGTGCTGGGTGTGGTGGCGCACGCCCGAAATCCTAGAACTGTGGGAGGCTGAGGCAGGAGGGTCAAACGTTCCAGCCCAGGCCGGGCAATTTAGTGACTTTGGTGAGAGTCTGTCTCAAAATAATAAAAGCCAGGCTGGGGGACGTAGCGCAGTGTGAAGGTCCTGGATTTAATCCCTAGTACCATCACCAAAAAAGAGAAAGAAAAGGAAAAAGAAAGCGACAGACAGCCGTCCTTACCTTAGTCTTGCTCTTCTCACTGTGTACCCGAAACTTCAGGATCACATACAGCACAACAACAAAAAAGAGCCATAGCCATTTGTTGCGCAGCCAGCCCTGTGCTGGGAGGGTGGGCCGCACCCGGGTGTGTGCCCCGCACGGCACCTTCTCCAGGGGCTCCTTGGCCTTCTCCCGGGGAGAGAAGAACACGAAGGCCTTCCCGCAGGAGAGGCACAGGGACAGGAGCAGTAGCGTGCTCAGCACCCGCATGGTGAGCAGTCAGTGCGCATGGCGGCACTGCCGCCGGCCTGCCGCGGGTGATGTCACAGAGCCGTGCGGCCCGGACCATTGTGATGCCTCGGGGCCACGGGGCTTCCAGGACGCAGGCGAGGAA